TTTCTCCGACCAAAAACCTTTTCTAGCTGAGAAAAAAAGAAAGGCAAAATGCTTACCAACGACAAAGCTTAGAACACGCTTAAGCGATGCTGCATCCATGCTCTCATCCACTGAACCATCAGCCAGTAGACCAAAGGCTTTCTGATGAACCATCGAAAGACCAGGATGGCATAAAAGAATAACCTGAAAAGTATCCATAAGTTTGCTGCGCATCAAATCTTTGCGGCTGCCTTCATGAGCGCAAATCTCTTCCTCCCCACCTGATTGGAGGTAAAAGCTCCTTTGCCTCAAGGATCAGTAAGCTTAATAAAAGCACCGGTTTTTTTTTTGGCAGGTAGCCTCACGCATAAGTCAATCTCACTACTCTCAATGAGAGACGGAAGCGGTACAGACGTTCCCTGACTGGTAGAAAGTGCTAAAAGCAATCACCAGCTAGCAAGGCTATCGATGACCCACTTTTCCGAGAGTTTCTCAGAAACAAGCTGATGGCTGTTTTGTCTCTTGGACATATGTCAATACCAATTTACCATCGAAATCAGTAAATAGATCATATAGACAGCACTAAATCTTAACTTTCTACACAGCAGCATTGCTACTATTCACTATGACATGCCCACAAAAGCTCCATACTTTATTAAAATTGTGGCCCCAAGGCGTTTTGTAGCGAAAAATAACGATATTTTTATATTTCGCAATAAAACTGTTCAATTCAGAACTGCTTTCGTATTCACTTTACGACAAGATGAGACACCCGGAAGTAATCCGAATGATAGCAATATTTTTACACAAACCTTATAAATTTGCTGTATCATGACTCCCTCCCAGGTAGGCCGTGCATTGCCGCGAAAGCGGCCTATAAAAGGCCGCCGTATCTGTATTGGAGGTAGTGTTTTATCTAGTGTAGTGTGTTGACCAGTATCAATCCCGTCTAGTATCGTCCATCGTTTCCGTGTAGTGTGTCGACCTGGACGACTTACGAAGGATGAGCGCCCGGCCGCAACCTCAAGTTAATTGCCAAGGAACCGAGGACCCTACTTGGAAGGCCGCAGTGCCTGGCCAGTTGACTAGAGCGCCCGGATTGGTGAACCCAACAAATCCATTATTTAATGAGAACAGAAATAAACAGTTCAAAATGATGAACGTACTTTTGCCGAATAACGATGATCAAGATCCGGTGGGTTCAGAGGAGGCAATTTTTCACCAGTGTACTCGACATCTTTGTGCACAATATGGAAAAGTACTGGTGTCGTTGAAACTGATAGCGGATTTTCGATTGGCGTTGTTCTGGGCCAATCAATATGTGCTTCCGAGAAATCGGATGG